ACTGTGGTTCTGCTCCCTGCTCGGACACAGGCAGGCAAAGTTGAAGCCCTCATCAGGTTTTGAACTACGCTTCACATGACCTCAACTGCTAGCCAGACTGGCTGGGGCTTATGGGAGCCCTAATCCAGACACAACCGGAGGGTAACAAGGGGGCCTATGCTTTGCTCAGTGTAAAGGTTCTTAAGAGTTAAAGAGATGAAACAGTACTAAAAAAGTTCTCCACTTCAGAGCGAGAGGCGATAAATGTGCAACCACCACGACACATCTGCACAACCTGTGATGGTTTGCTTGAAGAATGTGGTTTTCAATTTGAAACACAAAAAACACACTTGCCATGAGATTAGAAACTGGGAAGGCAAAGATGGCTGAAGAACAGAACAGGAGAGGAAATGTATTACGCCCTAGTTGCTTGTATGGGATCGTTCGCAGAAATAACAGAGTCAGATCAAAGGATGGGAAGAAGCCACTGCAATGCAGAAAGGGATGAGGGATTGGGGCCCCTCTCCTCTACACCTTCGTAAAACCAGATTTCCCAGCTTGCAGTGGTTAACAATCAGGAGCCAGCCAGCTCTCCAGACGAAAACTTATTCCGCAGAGATTATAGTCACTATAAAGCGCTAATGAGTGCTTAACTACTGCAATATTTAATTAAAAAAAAAGGAGAGGGGCTGTGAGCTGCTGCTAATTAACAGAAAATTGGTAATTTCCTAGCTATTAACGGCTTATTTTCCACTCATCTGCACTCAGGCAAGAAACCAAAGCTCTGGGATAGAGAGGAAACAGGCTCAATCAACAAGGACGGACTGGGCTCCTGCTTTGGGGTTCTCTCTGGAGTTAATGAGGGGGGGCTGGGAGGACCCCCTGCCTCCCCCTTTCTCCTTGGAGCCCCCCCTTTTCTCCACTTGCCCAGGCCCCTCTTTCCCTAGTCCCCGAATCCAGAGGGGGGGGATGTCCCCCTTCCAACCAAACGGATATTTGGCTCTCCTTGCAGAATGCAGAAAATGCTTAACTGCTCTTTTTCTGCCCGATTTGAGTCTCCATTTTATTGATTTTTTTTTATGTTTTTCTATTGATTTTTATTGGCAAAGCTTTCTACCAAGAGAGATGCTTTTATATCAGAGGTGGGGAAACACGAGGCCCTGGGGCTGAATTGGGCCCTATGAGGTTCCGTACCCATCCACTGCGCCCTTCCCTGAAATACCATTCTGTAGCTTTCCCAACGGGAAACACCGTAATGACTTTCCAAAAATTAAAGATTACAGTTGGGCTCAAATCCTATCCATCTTCCCACCCTTCTCCTAGGACAGCCTCTTTCTCACATCATAACAGCTGTCGCGAACCAAAATAGGGAAAATCTTCTACACGGCTATGAATACCCTGCTTTATCTGAAAACTACATCTGCTGCCATTCAGAGCTGGCAATACTAGCTCAAGGGTCTGGCTTTGCTGCTTTCTTCTGCTCCTAAACGTGACCCAAGTTCATCCAAGTCTTAGATGGCATGAGAACCGAAGGATGAGAGAAAAGAGAGAGAGAGTTGGCAGAGCTCAGCGGGGTTGTAAGGGTTATTCTAATATCAGAATTGCTCAGATATGGGTTTTTAACCTTCATTTTTGTATTTTCTTCTTCTTTCTATTGGTATTATTACTATTTGGTAGCGACCTTTTTCGAGTGCTGGTGCAACCCAGGAGTTGTTTGGTTTATGTCTATTTTGTTTTTCCTTCCCTGTAAGTTTGGGTCAGGGTGGGCGGGAGTCTCGTTTCAATGGACGGTGCTGCCATCCTGATGGTGTTGGGCCGAGGAAAGTACGCAGTGGGAGGCAGGGCCTACCTACCATTACAGGACACCACATGCCAGGCAACTGACGCCATTCATGTGCTCTGACTTTGCCACCCCCCAATAAGTGGATGAGCGCTAGCTCACCAGCTCAGCTGTGCCTCCAGTATGACCATCCTGCTGATTTAACGCCAGGTCTATTTAGAGTAAGTTCCATCTGACCCGGTGAGGAAGGGAATGCAGACCTGGTGTGTATCAGGTAGACCTGGGTGGGCGATCTGGGAGGCATGGCCCTCTCTCAGATGTTCATCCCCCCGCCCCCCCGGATTATACCCTGTGTGGCATCAGGGCAGATTGGAGGGGAGGGGTGGCAATAGCCCACAGAGACTCTATAGATGCCAGGAGGACTGCTTCGCTTTCCGAGGCCAGGCCTAGAGTGTTTGCACCTGACTGTGTGGCATAGGGATAGATTCAGAATGGTGCTGGTGTACCGTTCTCCCCACGACCCAGCCGTATCCCTGCCAGCGCTGGCTGAGTTCATTTCGGCTGCGATGTTGAGGTCACCCAGACGATTGATAGCCAGGGACTTCAACATCCACGCTGAACTAAAGCTTTCCGGCCCGGCCCTGGAGTTATTGGGTGTCATGACAGCCACGAATCTGTCCCAACATGTCATCTGCCCTAAGCATTCAGCTGGTCACGCTCCGGACCTGGTGTTCTCGACTGCCAAGGTGGATAGTGAACGGAAGGCAGGGACTGTGAACTCCCGTCCACTGTCATGGACCGATCACTTCCTACTGGGAGTCGACCTGTCTATCACAACCCCCTTCTGCAGGGAGAACGGACCCGTGAAAATCTTCTTGACCCGGAACAGTTCCAAGAGGCTCTGGGAGAGCGTCCGGCCAACCGGATAAGACAACCCTGTCAAAGCCCAGGTCTAGAGATGGTATCTGGGGAGGATCTGGGCGGCTGACACGATTGCCCCCAAACGCCCTCTCCGCTCCAGAGCTCACACAGCCTCTTGGTATACTGAGGGGCTGCAGGCTATGAACTTATCAAGGAGATGGCTGAAGAGCAGGTGGGGAAGGGATCAGTCGGCACAAAACAGGGCTGCAGTCAAAACTACAGTACGGCAAATAAATATGCTACTGCCCTTAAACAGGGAGGAGGCTTTCCACACAGACCCAGATGACCACCTTCCTCCCCATTTCTTTTTCCTCTCCCCTCCCCTCTTTTCCTCCATCCACTCTTAGATTAGTCCGTGCCATCTGATTTTCCTTCCTTCCTTTCCTTTTTTTAGGGTTTTTGTTATCAGGTTTAATACAGTGGTACCTCACTTGACGAGGATAATCCGTTCCAGCAAAATCGTAGAACGAAATCATCGTCAAGCGAAAGTAAAAATCCCATTGAAATGCAATGAAAACCAGTTCAGTGCGTTCCAATGGATGAAATACCTCAGCATCCAGCGAAGATCCTCCATAGGGTGGCCATTTTCCGGTGCCTGTAATGTGAGGAATCCGTCCTAAAACACAGCGGCGAGCCATTTTAAAGCCCGGCGGGGAGCCATTTTGCACAGCGGGCGGCCATTTTGAAGACCCGACGATCAGCCGTAAAGATCATCGTTAAGTGAAAAATCGGTTCCCAAAGCAGGGAACCGATCTTCTTAAAGTGGTTTTTCCCTATTAAAATATCGTTTTGCGATTGCAAAAAACTTCATCCTAAAGTGATTTCCTCATCTAATAGTAATAGTCAAGCAGGGCAACACTGTATTTCTATTTTCATTTGTGTTTTCTATTTTACGAGACTGTAACCTGCCCAGAGTAGTACTATGACACTAATGGGAGCAGGATAAAAATTGAATAAATAAATATATATATAAATAAATAAATAAATTTGTTTCGTTTTTTGGAGGGCCTTCAGTGTCATTGTCTCTGGAAATTGCTTCCATTTTAAAGCAGCTTTTAAAAACAGGGCCACGGCAGTTGCATCAATACTAAAACATCTTGGAAAAACATCACCCCTCACAAGAGCCTCAATGTAAAACAAATTAAAAACATCACGTTATTTTTTAATAAGAATGAAGGTATTTGAAGCATAAATCCATGGGTTTGCCAAGCTCCGCCACATGCCGACAGGATTTCCCCAGCCTCCTCCTTCACGGAGAGCACTGTGTTGCTGGGTTGGCAACTACCTTAAAAACACAGGAGGCCTCACCAGCCCAGCCATGTGCGTCTTAATCAGCTTTCCGGGGGCGCCTCAACACGGCTCCCTGCTATGGCCCGCTGCCCCCACCACACACAAGACACAAACTCTCTCTCTCTCTCTCTCTCACACACACACAGAGACACATCAGTGCGCTTTCGGTCCCTCTGGTGTGCCAGCTGCGCTCTGTATGACTCAAACCCCCACCAGCGCTGGCTACAAAAGCTACGGAGTGACCAGAATCAATGCCGTGCCGTGCTCGGCTCACTCCTCCCTTGAGAGCTACGGGAGGGGTTTGATGTAACCTGATGCACCAAAGTAAAAAAGAAAAAGAAAAATGAAATCCGGACTTAACAGGATAGAAAAATCCAAGAAATCCCCTTCCGCCTGGCTGCAAAACTACACCCCTTTCGTCTTGTATCCTGTGACTGACCCAAGCCATCTGAATCCCTTTGGGAAGCTTGACTGCGAGGATGGAAAGTAGGTCTGGCGACTGGTCTCCCGCTAGTGATGGATTTATGCACAAGCTATGCAAGCCAGGGAGAATGGGCAGGCAATTTAAACCAATATGGGAGGGGTGGTGGTGTCAACGAGGACCCTCTGAAATTTCCACAGCCCTTCCCCCCATGTCAAAAATACCATGAAAGCAACCAAATGACAACTGGACATGGCTAGGAAGGAAATTCTCTCTCTGTCTCTCCCTCTTTTATACACATGCAAAGAGCCCCCAAATTAAGAAAGCTGTTTTTCCAAAGAATTACTCTGCAGTGAAGCGAGCAAGTGAGTGAGCGAGCGACAGGGGAAGCTTTGCTTGCACGCTCGAGCTGCTGAAACCCTCATGCCAAACCAGAGAAAAGAGGAGTTTGTAGACAGATTTGACAAATAACAGCAGACCTCTAACCAGTCTGTGGACGGCTTCAGTCTCTTCCCTGCCTCAGACAGAGTCCGGCGTGGCGGGTTCATTCAAACCTTAGCCCCCCACCCCCCATGCCCTGCCGCCAGCAAGCCACGGTGGTCTCCATACCTTTGACAGACAAGCTGCCACCGCCTTCCTCCTCAGACTCGCTGTCCATCTCAAAAAGTTCCTTGAACTCCCTCTTGTCCTCTTCCTTCTGCTCACCTGGCTTCTTGCGTTTGATTTCAGGGAAGTTCAGTTCTTCCAGCTGTCGACGAGAAGGAGGAGGAACCGTCAACAAAGAATGGAGAGCGAGATCCATGACGAGCGATTTCCCCGTTCTTGGAGGAGGAACAGACCCTTGGCCGTGTTAAGAAGGGAAGGAGGGGACCAGGAAGAGGTCTGAAGATGGACGTGGATTTGTGAGATCAACTTTGATTTGGATTCCTGAGTTGAGCGGGGGGGGGGGGGTTAGACTAGAAGGCCTCCGAGGCCCCATTCTGACTCCAGGATTCTATGGCTTTTCATTAGGTCTGAGAATCAGAAATGTAGGCTTTCCAAAACAGAACAGAGAAAGAGGCTGCTTTCAGAATGTGTGAATGGGCCACACAAAAGGAAACGAGGTTTGGAAGTTGGGAAAACGGCTTTTTCCGAATTACAGCTGCCAGGATCTCCCGGTCGGCACACCCAACTCAAAGATTCTTTGGGGGGGGGGCTCATCATTTATAAAGAGGTGACCACAAGCTCATTGTCTGTAAAACTACATGTGAAAAAGATTGCTGGCTGGCTGGCTGAAACAAAAAACAAACAAACAAAAAAACATAAAAAGGAACTTTTCTAGTTTCCCCAAAAAACGATAAACCGTGGTTGGAAATCTGATTACCGCAGGGAGCCGCAGAAGCCATGCTAGAAGTTGGGGAAGGCGTTTATGGGCCACCGTCTACCCACAAGTGAGTCAGGAAGACACCACTGTGCCTGCTGGGGAGGAAGATCTGCAATCTGCTAAACCATTCAAGAAAAAAAGGAAGGATGGGCAAAGAGCATGTGCCCCTTGGTTTTGAAAACATGTGTGTTCGCATTTACAAAAAATTCATCTTGGAGGAGGTGCTTCCACTTCTCTCACACACATGGAAGAGAATCCCTCTTCAGAAACACAAACCGCCCTTCCAAATGTGACATAAATAAAAATTAATCAAACCCTCTCCCCCAAAGAGTCCAGGAAACCTTATAATCGGTCCACCAAAACAGCGGCCAAAATCCTGTTGTGTGGCTCCACGCGCCCAACGGGGATGATGTCATCAGCAGAGGCAAAGTGCCATTGCTTCAAGGCAGTGCCAGGGTGTGTGCAACTCACACACCCTGGGAGGAAGTGGCATACACCCCAAAAACCACAGAAGGAAGGCATTGATCGGCCATGGTTTGCTGCTGTTATCCCCCCGCCCTTGCACGTGAGGAGCAAGATGTCAGTGGATGTTTTTAATCAATCAAGCCAAAGGGTATTAATTAACTGAAAGGTGCAGCTGTGATTAGCACATCCTCAGAAGGGCTTAGGGTCCTTACCCGCTCTTTGCCGCTGATCTCCAGCTGAATCTCCTTCTCCCTCAGCTTCTTCCAGTGCGCATAATACGTCATCAGAGGGGTGCCTTCTTCCTTGAGCCTTTTTTCCCATTGTTCCTGTCAAGAACGGCAGCAAAGGAAGAAGAAGAAAAAAAGACACCCAGCATGAGCAGGGAGTGGCTGGGTCTGCGGCTTTCACTCTTCCCAGGGGGCCATAAGATAAGCCTGGATGGCTACGCCCATTTCACAGGCAGGCCAAATGAGACGGAAAGATCATGTCCTTCTACAAAGCAACTCTCATTCCTCACATTGATAGGGGCAGATAGAAACTAGAAAGCCCGTTGACTAACTTCCATGTCCATCCTCTCCCCTCAAAATTAATGATCAAGAGATACACTACCCCTAAACATAGAGGCTCAATTGTTACCGCTTACAACGGTTGACAGAGCTCTTCTCTGGAGCAGTGCTTGAGGATCTGGAGTCCCCAGAGGTTCTTGGACTACAACTCCCAGAAATCCTGGCCAGCACAGCTCATGGTGAAGGCTTCCGGGAGTTGTAATCCAAGAACACCCAGGGACCTGAGTTTGGGAACCACTGCCTTAGATTTATTCTGTATTGAATTATTCTTTGGTCTGTTCTGGTGTTGCCTATAATACCCTTGTAGTGTATTAGAGTGCTCCAGCAAATAATCGTGAGCGCCTGCCAAAATTACAATCCCAATATTCTGTGAATGGAAGCACGAGGGTTAAAAAACGGCATCAGACTGCTATAACTCTGTAGTGTAGACACACTGAGCTTTAGTCAGCAACTGTAAGCAATTTCCAATGGAGTTTTGAAAAGACCTAACCCTTCTCTCTGTCTTCCCTTCATCGTGTGCAACTGTCCTAACAGGGCCAAACTTACAAATCAAAGCACATCTCCTGGGAGAGGGACAGCGAGCCAGCCAGCCAGCCAGCCGCCCCCCCCTCTCTCTCTCTGTGTGTGTGCATGAGTATATAGAGGCACTCACCACAGCCTCTCGGTTGGCAACGCCAAAGGTGGCTTTTTGGCGCCGGTTGGTGATGTAGGTGGAGTTTTCCTGCAACTTCTCCAAAAGCTGACGGATCGTCTTGCAGTAATTAGCGACTTTGCAGTCTTTCAGGAAGGACTTCAACTGGAAGAGGTGGAGGAAGAAGACAGGAAAGGAATGAGACGACGGAAAAGAAATTCCATGAACTGCTCCCAGTTTTCTTTTAATTAAATAAAGTTCTAGCCAAGTTACATTTAACATCCAGTCAGAGTAAAAAAAAAACAAAACACCAGGACAGGCAGAATCCTGCATCCCCAAGAGCTCAGCTGTAATTTCAGGGTGCAACCATTGCAGGGAAAAAATAGTGACTGTGTCCTGTTGTACTGTCTGGAGAGTTCAGGGATTCAGGATCTCTGGCTGCAGAGCCAGAGGCGGGGAGTTCGATTCCCCTCCTGAGAGAAGAGCCAGCCTCGGTAGCCTTGGGCAAGCTGCACAGTCCCCAGGGTGCCCTCTGGAGGAAGGGAAGGGAAAAACACCTCTGAGCCCTCTGTACCTGGAAAACTCTGGAAAGGGCCATCATACATCAGGATGATGATGATGACCATCATCAACTTCTTTCCCTTAGTCTTCCCCCTCTGGCAAGAGGGATGGATGCTGGTTGCTTTCAAGAGACAGTCAGGCTGGGGAATCATCAGGAATAGGGGGGAAAAGAGGGAGCTGGTCGGGGGAAACGTATTTTCTCCAGAATATTTCCGGAGCATAGAGGAAGAAGAGGGCAGGGTCAGAGTCCTTCAGCAAGGAGTCGGGAGTTGAAGCCAGAGTGGCAGGAAGCCAAGTAGTGTGTCCACATCGCTCTGCCTCTTTCCAATGCCCCACAAGGCCTGTCGCTAATACCATTTATCTTGGCCGGCACTGGGTCCTTTCCTCTTCTTCGTGCAAAAACAAAAAACCCAAAAAAGCAGATCCACAAAACTCAGAAGGAAAGTTGGAAACCTTCCCTCTGGAGCCCGTAGGCAGTGGAAGTTGCTGTGAGGCTGGGAGCCAAACCCCAAGCCCGTGAGGGAGGGAGGGAGAGGATTCCAAGAACGGAAAACCCAAGGCAGGGTGGCCGACGTCGGCCCAAAGAGGAGTCTTGAAGAGAGAGGAGAGGAAATGCGTCGTCTCTGCCCTCGGCGTCTGGCTGGATGGGATCGCCACCCAAGCAGAAGGGGAGATGCAAAGGTTTAAAAAGGCACCCCTCTGTTTTTGTAGGTTGGAGAGGTAGGTGGGTGGGAGGTGGCAAGCCTCACCCCGGGGGGGGGGAACAAATCTGTTTCACGCATGACAACGTAAGAAGAGGGTGGGAGAAGGGCACAGAACGGGGAAATGGCCACAGATTTCAGCCCCTTGGAGATACTCAGTCTTCCTTTTTAAAGAATGATATATACACAAATAAGACATGCAGACACACGCAGAGCAATCTCTTTACCTGCAGGATGGCGGGGAGCGCCAGCTCCGGGAAACCAATTACGTAGGCCTGGCTGTGGAGATACTCTAAGGTCAGGTCGTAGAGCTGTTCCAGAAGCCCATCCTTGGGGCAGGGATGAAGGAAAGGGAAAGGAAATTAACCGCTCTCCCCCTCCAGGTTCCAGAGCAAAAACAGCCAAAACAAGATAAAATGACATGGTTTGCTGGGTCACCTTCATGAGTCTTGAGCATTTGAATACAAAATGGCCACCTTTCCCTGCCGTCACTGTGAACAACAGTGGCCAGCATACCCCTGAAAGCCAACGGCATGTCCCGCTGCCCTTCCTGCGAGAATCAGAGAACTGGGAGGGGACCCACCCTAGAGGTCCTCTGTCTAAGCTGCTGCTCAACACAAGGCATGGCTCTTGCCTGCAGTTCTCCCTGTCCACAGCTGCCCAAACCTGTTCAGTGAAGGATAATCCACCCAGATTCTTAATACAGCCCCTTAGTGGGGGTTCCACCCCCATTTGTGTGTGTGTGTGTGTGGGAGAGGCTAAGTGAGAATGCCCTAAACATATTAGGACACAAGATGCTCCAGTCCACCGATCCTACTGAGTCATTTGTGCTGTTTCTGGTTTCATACCCTTGATGAGAAACCAAGTCCTGCTGCACATTCTGAGCGTCTCCTTCTGGGTTGTGCAGAGAACACACGAGTTTTGGGGGCAGGACGACAATGAGCTTCTTAAGTGAGCTCCATCCTGCAACATTCACCACTTGTCCTCTTTTGTGTGTGTGAGTAAAATTTCTGTCTTGCGACTGCATTTATCCTTTTTGCAAAACCAACCTGAAACATGTCTCTGAAGAGGGGGTGTTTAAAGAACTAAAATAACCCTAAGGTAGAACTTCACAAGTCCTAGGTAGTCTACCTGCACATCACGGTTCCCACCTTCCCACTGGACCACCAAGACAAGAACCTCCAGGGTCACGAAACCCCAGCAAAACGCACACCCTCCTTACCCGGAACGCTTTCTCCTGCAAATTCGCATTGGAGAGCTTCAAGATAACAGCAAAATTAATAGGTTTGGAGCTCATGCGTCCAGGTTTCTTGTTGAAATCCACCTGCTGGAAAACCTGTGGGAGCCGGAGAAGAAAGAGACGTGGCTATTGCAAGCACCGCTTCAAGGGAGGAGCGCCAGAGGCATTTTGCAGAGAACAAAAAAACAACCTCAATTACAACGAGCACGAACCAACGGGTCTGGCCTGCTGAGGTCCCCCTTCCCAACACTACTCATGACGGAATGGCACAGTGTCTTTCCCATTCCGAGTATACGGGACGGGCCACTTCGCCCTCCGTCATGGGAGATGCTACGGCCGCTTCCTTGGAAGCACCCATCCTCTGCTACTTGATGCAACTGCCTTGCTCCACCCAATCAGAGGTCCGGTCCTGAACCACACATTATGTGACCCACAGTATCTGAAGCTATGCAATGGCGGTGATCTATAACTCTGTGCAGGCTGAGCAGACAAGCTGAATCCTGAGAAGACACGCAAGCACACACCAAAGTGGCAAACACAGAGGAAGAGGCAGGAGTGTATTGGAGGCATTTTCCCCAAGAGAGGGACAGACAGAGAGAATAGGAGCTGCCTGCTCTCCTTCATAAGGCTTACAACAGGTTACAGGGGGAGCTGGAAAAGCAAAAGATGCATTGGGGATGCAACCGAGGGACTTCTTTATTGATAACGGTCTACACTCTTTCCTCTAGGGATACCAAGACAAGCATGTGCCTTTCCCTGCCCCCTGGTATAACAACAACCCTGCGGAACAGGCCGAGGATGACTGGCCCATCCAGTGAGTTTGAGAACATAGCAGGGAACTGAAGTTACAATCCACATTATCCTCCTCCTCCTCCTCTTAGAACTGCAGAGCTGGAAGGGACCCTTAAGTATAGATCCAAAGTTTCTATCCAGCGCCAACCACTAAACTACACTGCCTTTCCCACCCTTCTTCACACAGAAGGAGTTTGAGGCGAAGAGGATTTGGGTCACAAGAGCTTTTGGATGGAGATGAGAGAAGCCAGAGGACAGAAGCCGTCAGATCCAGACTCCTTTTTTAAAAAAAAATTAGCATATGTCGCTCGTGAGTCTTGAGGTTATTTTTATCCTCTGCTGTTGAAACTTTCCATGATGGATGATCCGATCTTGATCCCACGGCTCACCACCATGTCAGATTTTATTTTATTTTTTTATTGGTAGCGCAAGTCACCCGGATAATGTAGGTCCAAGGAGCCCACCCGTACCGCTGGGCAAAACAGAGAGAAACAGATAAACAGGTTCCCACCTCCCTCTCGGAAGAGGCCGTGTGCTCAACCCACTCCAGGCTGAAGCCCACCCGGTCGGGGGGCTGGGCTCGTGAGTCCTCAGACCCTCCGCTCTGCCTGATCCAGGAACCTCGGCCGGATCAGGCTCTCCCACTCTACAACCATCCCTCGGGGTCTTTCGGAGATGCTACGGCTCCCCCCTTGTCAGCACCTTGGGAGTTCCAGCGGTGGAGGGGCCGCGCATCCATCAGCCACCAGACGTTTGCTGTTTAATGTGGCAGCTGCCTGTGTGGGTGGGGTGTCATCATCATCATCTTTTTTTTAAAGTGCCTCTGAGCTCAGCGGGGTTAATATTCTTTCCTTCCCACACCTCTCCCCCAGGACCCTGTAGGGTGAGGGGGAAGGAGATGGTTTTTAAATTGGTGAGGCAGCCTCGTTCCCCCCACGGGAGCAGGACTGGAGATGTGCCGTTTAGCCGCACTTGCCTTCCGGCGCTCTCCCTGCTGCTGGAACGAACGCCTGTCAGGTGAAAATTATTATAATAAGAGAAATGCAGAGACAAGAGGCGGGGGAGGGCTACACTGCGCCAAGCGTGGGACCCCGTGTCCCGTTCCATTGCCTCCACCCCTTCGTCAGACTTGCCTCTACCATATGGGGGGGGGTACGAGGGTCCACCCGCTCCTGACACAGGCCTCGCCCCCTGCAAAAGGGAGAGGGTGCGGGGGCCTCTTTCGTAGGGTGGGGAGGCGTTCCTCTCTGCACCCGGGAACCAGAACGTCCCCGTCAAGGCCCATCACCCGTCTTGCTCTTATTTCCGATGGCAGGGGCTCGGGGAATTCCAGGGCCGGGAGGGACCGCACAAGACGCCGGAGCTGTCATCGGGGTGGTGAGAAGGGCCGAGGAGAAGAGAAGCAGGTGGGGCAGGGAAGGGGGGGAAGGGGGATAAGAGAGGAGAAACGGAAGGCCGCCCCCTCTCTCTGGTCGCTTAGGAGAGCTTCCAGACAGGCAGCCAAAATCCTATCATCCCCCAAAGCCTTTGGTGTTTCAGACTCCCCCCCCAAGAATGATTGAAACCAGCTTTATAATGTTTTCAGCCTGCTTTTCCATAGTGTGTGTTGCTGTGAGCATTTTGTCTTTACAACAATTGTTTCAAAAAAAATTTCATTTATCAGATCTGGCAGACCAGGCAAAACAAACAGCCAAAATAAAGGCAAGAATGGAAATGGTGGATGCCGATGTGAGTACGGGAACGGGAGCAGAGCGTCTAAAAGAAGGATGGGATCCCTTTTTAATTCCGGACCAGGGAGGATCACCTAACCCTTTGCTCTCTTTCTGGCATTTTCTGGCTGCAATCCTGCATAGACGAGGAGTCTCCTTCCTCACTTATAAAAGCAGGCACCCCCGGCCAAGTCACACAACTCAGCGTGCCAACAGACGAGGCCAACGGAGATTTCTTAACTCCGGCCATTTGCTTCCAAAATTATACTTCTGGTTTAATGGCGCAACAGGATTTCAGTGTTTCGATTTCATGCTTCTGAACAGATGCAAACCATCCAGATGATTTTATTCATCTCCATCTTAGACATACTTCCTTGGAAATTAAGTTTCATTGGAAAAAAACAGAATATATTTCTTGCCGAGTTCAGAGTAGACAAGCATACAAGCTTCATTGTTACTCCTTCTGTTTTGATGACAATTTTATGTTCCAGCTTCTTTAACTGTTGAAATGGGGTGGTTTCATTCTCACCGTGTTAATTCTTTTTTCCACCTCCTGATCCATGCTTTTTAACATTCAGTTTCTTAACTCTGCTCTGTTTCTTTGGTATTTGCGCATGACATGAACCGCTCTGTAAATATTTGCGCCACTTTTCAAACTAAATAAACACACAGCCTAAACCATCCTGCCTGGTTTGTTGTAAGGAAGGTGGGCTAGTAGAAAGGAGGAACCTTTGTAGGCCTCACTGTACCCCCCCCCCAAAAAAAACTAGAGAAGAAATATAAAAAGCAGAAATTCCTTTGAGATTCCATGGAGGAATAGAAAATATATTCTGCGAATGGTTTAAAAGAGTTTATGAGCATGGGGGGGGGCGGTTGGGGGGCAACATCGTATTATGCCTTCTTACCCTAACACACTTTTAAAAAAGAAAGGAACACAAACGGAGTACTCTGACAGCCACACACACTCTTCACAAACACCCCTGCCCCACCCCCTGGCCAGCCAGCCCGCTCATCCAAGCTTGCGGGTGACCCGCCTGCCTCTGTCTGTCTGTCGGCAAGCCCCTGCGGCCTCCGATGCGGTTGGCGCAGCGGAAGCCAGGAAGGAAAGCGGGCGAGAAGCGCAGGAACGGCTGGCCTGATCTGTGTGGCTTGCCAGGGAGGGCGGTGGAGGGCGGGGGGGAACAGGGCTTCTTTTATCTCCCGGAGGTCGGAGGAAACAGAGCAAAGAAGAGGGTAGCGAAAGGCGCTGATGGCAAAACCTGGCCGGCGAAACCTCTCGAGGCCAGGCTTAGAGGAAGGAAGCAGCAGGAGGCGGAGAGCGAAGGGAGAGGCTCAGCCCAGAAGCCGCAAAGGGGCCCACGGCGGAGAGGTCAGGCCGGCTGCTACGGGACCCAAGAGGATGTGGTTAACGAACAGACATTTGCAAGAACACGCAGGCGCGCACACAAAATCATGGGAGGGTTTTTGCTTCCCTACAATTAGCGATGAACCAAGGTGGCTTGGCCCCTTCGCCGGCTTGTCCCCACTTCCTGTGGTCACATCCTCTGCCAGCTGGCTCACTTCCTCTCCACCTCTTAAAGCAAAAACATGCATGGACATTCATGCAGGCGCATATGCACCGACGCTTGGGGGGGAAGAGGAAGTGGGCAGGGGGGGGCACAATCTCTTATCAAAATCTTTCTTTGGGTTACAATAGAAACCACAGAACACAAACAGCAACTCCCCAACCCCAGCCACTGTTCACGAAAGCTGCCACTTCTTGTCCAGAATCCTTGCTCCCCAACTGCATCCCATATCAGAGGGTGTTACAACAACCCCCACACACACACACACACTCATTAGCTATAGGTGTGCAGCTACTGGATATAAATATTTAAAAGATCCACGAAACAGTCAAAAGGGTGGTGGAAGTACATATGTACTTCCGAAGTTTCTGGGGGTTGGGGGGTTGGCAACTGGAAACGCCATGGCTGGATCCGGCCCATATAATGGGGCAAAGTTGCCAGGTTAGTGGCCAACAAACACTTCTGGAGGGACTGACAGGTCATCCATCATGGTAAGGTGTGTGTGTGTGTTGGGGAAGATGCCCTCCACTTCCTCCACCCACTCCCACCTGAAAAGAGGCTTCCAATCTGGGCAGTGCCAGCCAGCAGCCACAGGCTCCCAATCAACATTCATAACGGCTTACTGCACTGGTTCTTAACCTTGGGTTACTCAGGAGTTTTGGACTGCAACTCCCAGAAGCCTTCACCACCAGCTGTGCTGGCTGAGGTTTCTGGGAGTTGCAGTTCAAAAGCATCCAAGTAACAAAGGTTAAGAACCACTGGCTTACTGGAAGGTAACCAGGGTGGGAGGAGAGACTGGAGCCCTCGCCTCCATTTCCCACGGCACCATGAAATTAGAATACCCAGAAGCACTGCCTTAGAGCGGAGAGTTGGTCTCAAGAAACAAGGAGGGGAAGGTCCTGGGAAAAAAAGAGGAACCCTCCCGTCCCATCCCACCCAACCCCCCAACACAGAAAACATTTTTTTTGCCCAGTTTTCTTGCTTCCTGCAGCAAGAGTATTGACTTACGCGTGGATTTCAACCACAGTAACCAAATCCCAACATGCATTACAGAAATGAAAAAGCATCTTTTCCCCCACAATTAACTGTGCCTCTGTTTTATCTCCTCTTTCCATCATCTCCTTTGTCTTGAATTTTCAGAGCGCTACCCCCTCGGGGAAAGGCCCGCCCTCTTGAATTCTGAAAAGCGCCAAGCGACCTTTGTAAAAACGCCGCGTAAACGACCACACTGAATTCTGCATGGGGGCCACGAGGGACACTCACCTCCAAAATGAAGGGCAGGACGGGAATAAAGGTCTGGGTGCTCTCCGACAGGAGGGTGAGGGCCCGGATGCAGTGCATGCGCAGAGGGTAGAAACGAGCCGTGGGTACCAGCCTTGCAAAGGGAGAGAGAGAAAAAGGAAAAGAATTACAGAGGTCAAAATGGTTACTGTCCATTCATGAGCTGACCACTAGACCACGCGGACTCTTGCATACTTTTCCTTATAGCACCACTAGCAAAGCCCAAATGGCAGACCCTGTTTTCACTTAGATGGCCTGCCTGAAGCGAGTTTGAGAGTTACCACTGTGGAACACATGTCTTGGGTCAAATAGGCACCGGAGTCAGTGTGATGAAATGACCAAGACCATCTGTACTGCTGCGCTTACAATCACCATGTACGAACGTGAAAGCTGGACAGTAAAGAAAACTGACAGGAAAATAAACATGGATACCCTTGAAATGTGGTGCTGGAGGAGAGCTTCATGGATCCCCTTGAAATGTGGTACTGGAGGAGAGCTTTGCATATACCTGGACGGCCAGAAAAACAAACAAGTGGGGTACATGGACAGCGAGAAAAACAAACAAGTGGGTTCCTATATCAAATCAAGCCTGAACTCTTTCTGGAGGCAAACAGGATGAAACTGAGGCTGTTCTACTTTGGGAAGGCAGGATTCTCTGGAAAAGACAATAATGCTAGGAAAGGTTGGAGGCAGCAGGAAAAGAGAAAGAGCCAATACAAGGTGGAAGGAAGCCACAGGCTTGAATTTTCAAGAGCTAAGCAGGGCTGTGGAGGAGAAGGTATTTTGGAGATCCCTCATTCATAAGTCGGGGACAAGTTGATGGCACGTGAACAACAAAGTCAACAACCCTGACATTGTGTGACACACAGAACAGGTACACAGAATTAAGGCAGGCCCAGCCGACCTGAGTGATCTTCTTATTACCTTCCCCAGCCCTTTCTACTTTCAATGACTATTATTGGATCAGAGCCTCCATTCTCAGAGGTAAATCCAACCCACCCCCTACCCATGCCACTGCCTTCACATTCAGCCAACGAGGATTGCTGAGATCATTAAAAAAAAACCCAAGGAGGGCGAGAAGCTGCATCAACCGCACGGCATAAATCACGGGCCACCCCTTCACCCTCCCCTCCCCCACCAAATAGTGAAATAATTATCACTGGATCCATTATGGAAATAAATCTACTTCCTCACCCAGGACCTGGCAACCGGCAAAGAGGGGATGACGAAAACCTTCTACAGGAATTAATTGATCGGGGGATAAACCTGTTAAAAGGTATAGATTTACTGTAAACCCCAGCCGTTAATTTCCAAGCACGGGGAGAGGTGACAGCCAGCTTAAAAACTTCCCAGCGGCTAGGGACGAGTCCAGGAATGAAGTATGTGCGTCGGGACAGTTTGTCGCCTGCCCGAGTGAAACGCTGAAGAATTCGTGAGCCAGGAAATTGAAGTAAATAAATAAATAAACAAATCCAGATTGAGCTCAGATGCTTTCGTGACCCACTAGAAACAGAGTACAAGACCCTAACGAGGTCAAGTTACAAAGACTGGAGCAGGCCAATAATCTTGGAAGTCATAAAGCCGGCTTTTACAAGCTGCCCATGCTTCATGGCAAGCTGAAGCTTGGAGAAGTTCCTTTTTTCCTGAACTAGCCCATGCTTGATGATGAGAAGAGCACTGAGAGGGAAACGGCAGACTCTCCATCTGCCCACATTTCCTGGCTGACACACGACCAAGGTTACCTGCTGTGCGGAGTTATCCCGGGGGGTTGTGCTCTGAAAAAGTAACTTTTATACGGGAACTGCTTTGAGTCCCAGACCCTGGAGAAATTTCAGAGAGATCAATTAAAAAAAAAATGGTAAGCACACTGGGCAGAAAGAAAACTGGATCGCTCCATGGTTTAGGCCTCTGGTTGCAAAGCCAGAGGTTTGGAGTTCGAATCCCCACCGTGCCTCCTTGAGAGGGGATGGACTGGAGGATCTACGGGGTCCCTTCCGGCCCAGACATTCTAAGATGAATGAATAAATATATTTTTAAAAACCAACCTTCAAGGAAAGTAAAAAGAAGGAAAAAAATGCTGCACAAGTCTGGTCAAAACTGAGAGATGTCCACCCCCTCCCCCCTATGTTATGCTGCAAAGCAGCAGGCAAAAAGCCGCCAATTTTGGCTTCTCTCGGCAACCTCTGTGTTGCTAGTTATCTTGCTGAAGCACATTTTAAATTCTGCCCTGGACCTTGCCTGGAGCCAAACATCTCCAGCGGATGGCAATCACACAAACACCCACCCCAAACGCTCCACCATGGATCGGCTCCCGATTGGGTTCTCAGTTTGCCTCATTGCTGCTTTATTATTATTTTTTTCCCTCTAGGGCAAAGCGCCACCTTCTGGATGAAACGAGAACTGTTTCAACAAATTTAAGTTTGAAATAAACCAGCTCAGTGGGTCCCTTCGCATGCCAGTGTCTGGAAAATGAGTTTAAAACAAGCAGGACAAAATCTGGCTAAGATCAGCTGCTCGCGGGCTTTCCTCCACTCCTGCTTCTATGCAAATGTGAAGTCGATACAGATGTAATTGCAGGGGGGAGGGAGAAGATGAATATTTCCGCCCTCCCCCCCAGCACCAATGCCTATTGGGCCTATTAAAAGTATTTCTCCACCCCACACGGTGAGACACCCTGCATTTGACAGTCGCCAGCAAAATTTAACTTTCTGCTCCCGTTTCTCCTGGAGACCTGCTGAGCTCACCTTTCCAGGAGGCCTCGAAGGCAGTTGATTTATCTGCCTAGACAGGTGGAAAACTGCCTCAGCCTGTCCTCGGGACAATTAAAAACATCGCCTAAGTGACGGAAAGGCGCCTCTCGGGGGAAGAAAGACGGAAGGCAGTGGGGAGGACAGAGATGAGCGCTGAAAATCGTTTAAACCTGTTTATCTTCATCAACACTCGGAGGAGCCCGGGAGCGCAAGCAGGGCGGCATCGGAGGGGGAAGAGAAGGGGGCACGCAATCTGGACACGGTTCTAACAGGATTTCCAGAGATTGCTGGGACCTAAGAAAATTTACTGCATGCCCGCAAACTGTCAATAGTTCTATAGCGTAGAATCAGCTGTTGTGTTTGCAGACTTTTTTTTAAAAAAAAATGTGGCAAGATTAATTCGTGAAATTTTTTGCACAGACCTGTTTTTCCCCCCCATGTATAAAGTCTAACTTTGAAAACAACCAGTTACTTTCCAGGTTTCACCACTTTTGTCTGTGAGCTGGTTACCTGTGCTTGTTTCTACCGCCCCGGCTGTTCTGGTACAGTGTATAAAGAAAAGTTCATGCACAGCACGCTAACAACTGGAGATCGAGACTAGCTGTCACAGGGAGCCAACAGTTTAAAAGAAAAAGTGGGTGGGAAGGTGGGATGGGTCACAAGGACAACAAAAGGGGAGAGTGAAAGAGGTTGAGGGACACAACGCAACACATGCGTCGCCTTCTGAAAGTCCAGACCAAAAGAAAAAAGAAAGAAAAAAGAATCAGAGTTGAAAGAACCCAAGGGGTCACTGAATCCAGAAACATCGCTGAACGGTGAGTTTTCAAGTGGTCACTTAATCCAGCCTCCGCCTAAATATATGTAACATTTTAAAAGCCGGTCCTACCATTAGACAGATTGAGAAATCTGCAAGCATCTTTCCTCCGTTCTCATCAGTATAAATACAGTCACAGCAAGCGGAAATAGCAATTCCCACCCTTATAGTACTCTAAATCTATATATTTTAAAGCCAGTCCTACCCTTAGACAGATTGGACAGGCCTTCCAGATATCTGGATGGCCATTTTTTAATCCCTGACTGTGGGTCATCCTGACTGGAGCTGAAGAAAGTCCAAAATATTTCAGAGGTAACAGGTTGTGTCCTCCCCAACTAATCCACCAAACTTCCATGGCTTATAACAAAAGATTAGAGAACAGAAGTGTTTTGTGTTCTAAACAGAGTGAAAAAAACTAGCTAAGACTGGAGGAGATATCCCAGACTATAGGGTTTGAAGATACTGTGAAATGCCAGAAAGACAAGCGTGGTTCCCAGCACGAGTCAAACTGTATCCATCTCTTGAAGCAAAAAATATAGAAGCTGGGGCTGACCTACTTTGGGCCCATCCTGAAGGCAGGATTCTCTGATAAAGACAATAACGCTAGGAAAAGTAGAAGGCAGCAGGAAAAGAGGAAGACCAGATATGAGACGGACAGTCTCCCTAAAGGAAGCCACAGGCTTGAGTTTGCAAGAGCTCAGCAGAAGGATAGGACCTTTTGGGGATGGCTCATTCATAGGGTCATTGTAAGTTGGAGGCAGCTTGACTGCATGTAACAACAACAAGATTGACCAACCAGCTGGCTGGGTAGCTCAGTGGTTTTAAGTATCTGGTTGTGGAGCCAGAGGTTGGGAGTTTGATTCCCCACTGGGCCTCCTGGGAGAAGAGCCAGCCTGGGTAGCCTTGGGCAAGCTGCACAGACCCAGGGTGCTGTCAGAGGTTAATGGTAAATCTCTTCTGAGTACTTCTCTACCTGAAAAGATTCGCTGTAAGTCAGAATTGACTTGATGGCACATTATCAACATCATCACCGCCACCACCACCATTTTGAAGAGTTAATAAACGTGAGCACGATAGGACAAGATGGCAAGCTCAAGGAATCTGCTACTTACTTAAGGCAGCCAATGATGACCTGGGTCAAAGGGTAAATCAAGGGGGCCAGGACATCATTCGGATAGAGGGTGCTCAGCATCCGACACCAGAAATAGAGACAATGGATGTACTGCCAGTTATAAACTGACTGGTAATTCTCCTGCAAAGGAAAAGGAGGTGGAGAGGAGAGACGCAAATGGGAAAAAAAACACAGAAATTTAAACCTGCTCCAAGACATATGGTTAAATTAACTGCTACTTACAATCATGTAAAATAATTGTAACAGCTATTGATGTAATAAGGGCATAATTAGTTCACTGTGTGCTATGAAGTACCAAGGAGATTAATGGAATCACGATTATTATCACTGCTATGGTTGCTGTACACAGATTTTTAGTCCTGTAAGCAGAGTGGTGTCGTGGACAGAGTGACAGACTAGGGCTGTGAAGACCTGGGTTCGAATCTCTGCTTGGCCATGGAAACGCTCTGCGGGGTGGGTGCGCCTGGCAATGGTAAAACCACTCAACAGCAAGACTTTACAAAGTCTTGAACCTCTGGATGAACCTTGAAAACCCTACTGACTCCACCAAAAATCCAGCGTGATTGACAAGATGGAAAAGGCAGGACACTGCTGTTCCCATCCAGGTTGCTGCGTGAGGCTTTTTTAAAGCCACACGGCTGTGAGAAAATGTATTTGATAAATATGCATGTTACTATTGTGCCATGGTTATTATGTCGTCTGATAAATCCTGCTCGTTGGCCACCAGTTTCTTGAAGACGTTTATTTACATCTGCATTTAAGACATGATGTGCGTGTGTGGGGGGGAAGGTCACTGAGCCGCGATTTGAGATCGCACAGCCCACCAGAAATCCTGTGAGCCACTGGAAGGAAACAGAGGACAGGGAGCCGCAGGGGATGGGGATACGGTGGTGGAAGGAAGTGGAGAAACCGAATTGTTTTGGTGTCAGAAAAAACTGGAAAGCACTGGAATTCACAGCATCAGGTGGAACATCTGCAAGCAGATGATTCACCCGCTCTTGGATATAAAACAGCTGGCCTGATTTTAAAATCCCAGCTGGTGTGGTATGTGTGTTTCGGAGTCTGCTGTCTACCCATGCTATGGAAGATCATCACGGGCATGGTCCAGGAGCTGCGTTCGAGAGCAAAAGCAAACGGCTAACTAAACCTGGAGCCGGGGGGGGGGGGACATGTCGTCTGATAAATCCTGCTCGCTGGCCACCAGTTTCTTGAAGATGTTTATTTACATCTGCATTTAAGACATGA